CCTCCGCGTCGCCGGCCGCTGCGCTGGGCCCTGCGTCCTGGGCGGGGCCCTCGGACGAGCCGGCCTTCCGAGTGACCTTCCCGGCCACCTTGTCGGACATGGGCCTCACCTGCCGGCGGAGGGCTGTCACCTGCGGTCACAGGGAGGGGCTCAGCGTCCTGGGGGGCAGCGCAGCCCCGCCCCCGCCCGAGAGCCACTCGCCTCCTCGGTCTTGCGGCGCAGAACCACCTCCTGGTTTCTTCTCTGGGCCTCCAGCAGCCGGAGCTGGTGCTGCGGGCATTCCGGGCGCTCAGGGCCGCACCCCGTGACCCCGCGCCCGCTGCCCAGGGCGGGGCCCCCACACCGCAGGTGCCCCTCGTCGGGCTGGGCCCTCAGACGGGGAGCGGCTGCCCGTGGCGCTGTGGGGGAAGTCACAGGCGCCGGCCGCAGACCAAGGTCAGCGCAGAGGGCACGGCCGCCCCAGCCCCCTGCTCCCTGGAGGCCGAGGCCCAGGGCTGTGGCTCCGCGAAGACTCTGGACTGAGCCAGACGAGACCAGAGCCCAGCCGGGCGCTCACTGGACCTGTGCCCTGGCCACCCTGCTGCCACCCTGCGAGGCCTCAGGACCTCGAAACTGGACATGCCGGGACCCCGCGTCCCAGGGGGCTGCCTGCCAGGGGCCAGTCAGGGCTGCTGGGCATGGAGACAGCCCAAGGGCCCAGCCAGAGCGGGCGCTGGTGGAGCGCAGTCGGCTGGGGACGGGTCTGCACGGGCGGCCACAGGGCTGGAGGGCACCGGGAGGAGCAGCCCCAGGTTTCGCCCCGACCCGGCACAGACTAGCGGGCGGGGGTCTCCCGGGGGGGGTGTTGGCGCCTGAAAGGCCAGCACGGAGTGCGGTCAGCAGCCTCGGACACAGACCCGCGGAGAGAGCTGAGCGTCCATCGGAGGAGGCTCCTGTGGCCGCGCGTAGACGGCTGGTCAGTGAGGCTTTTCCCCGGGCAGCAAGGTAGCGGGACTGATGCAGCTGTGCCCCACAGAGTCGGACCCGACCGGCGGGCACAGCCGCCCCGGGGGTGTGGGGGACGCAGGGGGGACGGTCACCACAGGGGAGCACAGTCATAGCAGGGGACCAGGACAATGGGCCTCGCTCCCCAACAGAGTGACCAGTGAGGAAGCCACAGCGGGCGACAACCCCCCACCGAGAGCCAGTCGCCAGCAGGGAGGTGCCCTGCCTCGGCCAGGGGTGGCGCTGGCCACCCACACACAGCCGCCCGCAGGATCCACAGGGTCTGGCCCAGCGCTGACTATGTCCCGCCCGCCTGCAGGACGCCGTGGCCAGGCGGGTCTGGACAGCCGCAGGAGGGCAGCTCAGACTCTCCATCCACCCCAGGCTGAACGCGGGGCAGAGACGGCAGGGCCACCTGCCCAGACCCACTCTGTGGACACACGTGCGCCCAGCCCCAGGTCAGCGAGGGTCGCCCGCCGCCCCCCCCACCGCGCCCTGCAGTGCGCGGCAGGTCACCCTGGGTGGGCGGCTCGCAGGGCACCCGTGGGCAGGCGGCCGACCGGGCAGCGGCTGCGGCATGGCCACTCCCACTCACATCGCGCTTGCGCTGGTCCTTCTTCAGCTGCGCGATCTCCCTGCTGCGCCGGGACTCGTTCAGCCGCGCCTTCTCCTGCTCCTCCTTCATCTGCCGCATGAGGCGGACCTAGGGCAGCAGGG